CTAGTATCCACCGAATTTTCACTTCAAATCGACGAATCAACATTACCGAATAATGAGGCATTACTATTGGCATACGTCCGGTTTGTAAACAAAGGAAAAATCGTTCAAGAAATGCTTTTTGCAAGGACCTTGATTACTGACACTAAAGGTGAATCTATTTTCAATATAGTCAAAGACTTTTTTAAAGAAAAAAATATTCCTCTTAAAAACGTTATATCTATTGCCACTGATGGAGCACCTGCAATGGTAGGACGTCATCGTGGGTTCATAGCTTTTTTTAAAAATGAAATACCCGGTATTTTAGCTATTCACTGCGTCATTCACAGACAACATTTAGTTGCAAAAAACCTCAGTGATCGTTTGCATCAGTCATTACAATATGTTATATCTGCTGTGAATAAAATTCGTAGTAATTCGTTGAACAATCGACTATTTACAAAGCTATGCAAGGAAAACGACGAAGAATTCAATCGCTTGCTTTTACACACTGAAGTTCGCTGGCTCTCCAAAGGTGCCTGCCTCAATAGGGTTTGGAATCTTTTTGATTCTGTGCTTGAGTTTCTTGAAGAGAAAGATGTAAAGCTCAAAGACAGGTTGTTACTATTTAAAAGCGATGTTGCTTATATGACCGATTTATTTGCAAAGTTTAATGCCATTAATTTGCAACTGCAAGGTGACGAGCTCAATTTAATAACGTCAAAATCGGTTATTTCTGCATTCCAAAAAAAATTGACTTTGTGGAAGACCAATTTTGGTCGCCAAGAGTTCAGCCAGTTCCCAGTCTTGGCTGATCTGCACAAAAACAGTGAAATATCTTTCGACTACATACAAGTTTACTGTCAACATCTCGAGTCTTTACATATGGACTTTTCAGAACGTTTTAAGGATATTTTGTCGTTGGAAGTTCCTCAATGGGTCATGAATCCTTTTATAAATATTGAGACAGCAGAGATACAAATTCAAGAAGAACTAATCGAACTTTCAACTGATGAAACATTGAAATCCAGTTTCAAAGGTAGTGACCGGCTCACGGAATTTTGGCTTAAAACTAACATAGTTCATAATTATCCTGGACTGTGGTCTCTCGTTAAAAAATTTTTAATAGCCTTTCCTTCCTCATACCTCGTCGAGCGAGGGTTCAGCACTGTAACAGATTTGATTACAAAAAAAAGGAACCGACTGGATATCGTGACAAGAGGAGATTTACGACTTAAGCTAACAAACATCGAACCTAATATAAAAAAACTTGCTAAAAACCACCAAGTTCAACCATCTCATTGAAGCCTAGCAATATATTTTTAAAGAAAATAAAAAATGTATTTATATTTATATTTTTTTAAATAATTAATTTAATATTTATTTATTTATTTATCAATATTCATTTTTTTTAAATTAATTTCTATAATACTAGTTCTATAAATAAAAACATGAGTTATTAGATCATTTCAATTTTTTCTTTTAAATTTTCCAAATAACCTTAATTATAGAGTTCTTACATTGTAGGGGCGGTTAACAAATTTATTGACACTCAAGGGGGCGGTAACTTAAAAAAGGTTGAGAAACACTGTTCTAGACATAGACTGCTTTAAAGTCCCCACACACTGCCGCGGTGGCGATATTAAAATCGCAGACCTGAACACATTGTGGCGGTGGCGGTGGCGATTTTTATCCAATATAAACATAATATATTTATATATTACATACAATAATTGTATAGTTAATTAATGCCTATGTCATACAATATATTATTTGATAAATTGACGATTTATCTATATAGTACGTTAGTGCTATATTAAGTACTTATACTATTATACATATTAGATTCATAATATATATATTGCATTGATTATTTACTATTTTTAATAAGCTAAATAATATATTAAACGTTGGCGACTATGGTCGAAATTCGGATGGAGGAATTTTAGAAGAATCGGCAATTGGTAAGCGCTTGGAAATGGGGAATTTAAACTTACCGACAAATAAGCCTTTACTAGGTCAGGTTGAAGACTCGCCTATGATTCTAATTGGTGATGAAGCATTTGCTTTAAAAACCATATCTATTAAAGCCCTTCCCACGCAGACAATCACATAATAACATCCGACTTGACAATTATAATTATAGACTCTGCAGAGCGAGGCGTGTTGTTGAGAACGCATAAATTTGGAATTTTAACAAAAAAATGGAGAATTTATAATAGACCAATAGAAGTGAAAGAAGAAACAACAATAAAAATTATTATGGTTACTTGTATTTTACACAATTTTATACGAGTACAAAACTGCAACATCGATACTACAGAGCCAGATGAAAATGATTCTATAAGTACCTTGGGTGAACTAAGCATAAACAATTGGAGAGGAACAAATGAATCGTTAAGAATACGCGATAATTTCGTAGAGTTCTTCAACTCTTGATCATTTTTTTTAATTCACGGTCAATTTTAAAATTATTTTCCACTAGTATAAATTACAGTCTTCTATGATATTGAATGGATTATATAAGTAATGTATTCATTTCAATGTATAATTTTAATTATTATAACTATTGATCACTTTATTTTACTTAAATATTTGTAATTAATTTTAAATATATATTCAAATTATTATTATATTATAAATTAATATACATATTTATCTTTCTCTCCATACATATCTGGACTAATGACATTATCCCAAATATAATCCTTCTTCCTTGAATCCTTAAATTCTGGATGGGTCATGTCGTACAGTATCGGATTATTTTTGACTATCATTATTAATTTTTCTATATTATCTTTTTTCGAGAGAGACATGATAATTTATTATGTTTATAATAACTTTCTGTTACTACTTGCTGTGATACACTGTTTGCTGTACACGTTAATTACAACACTAATCACAAATCAGTTATGACTAAACACAAGCGTCTTGTTCAAATCATTTTGACTTAAAATAAACATTGTTAAATTCGATTTCATTCGAACACAAATGTAATCTAGATATGCGTGACGCATTTTCTCAGAAGTTGAGAAGTGGTATAATAAATACTTTATTATTTTTAACATTTCATTATGTTTTATAAATAATATTTAATGCACCTACAGTACCTTAATTTTAATTTTATGGTATCCCCTTACTAACATATAAAAACGAATTAATTAGTAATTAGTTAGTTAATAATCAATGAAAAATAATAATTTTTAATTTCGTATAATTATACATATTTTCATAATATTAGAGTATAATATTAAATAATTTAAAATAATAAAAATAAAAAAAATTAAAAAAAATTAATTAATTATTTAATTTTAATAAAATTTTTATTAAATAATAAAAATTTATTTGAAGTACTAATATTGATTTTGGGGAAACATTAAGAATGTCAATTGAAAATACCGCTGAGCGGTGGCGGTGAAATCGAGCATGCTGCGGTTTTTAAAATATCGTAGCGGCGGTATTTTTCCGCGGCCGAATTACCGCAGCAATGTGTGGACTCCCATTACAATACGTGTGTACAAATAAAACGCCACCGTCAACGCGGAAATGTATGGGGACCTTTATAAAAATATACTATGAAACGTGAAATGCTTAAGTATAACTTATGAATAAATACATTTACTACACGCAGTGACTTCGAGTAAACAATCGAGGCGGGTTATCCTGCGAAATCTGCGATTCGAGTGGAAAAAAAAAACTTTCCACCGCCACCGGACCAAACAGATAAAGAAGAGAGTCGCAGAAAGAAGTATGCCCGTTTTTTTTTTTTTCACGATCAAAAATATAAAAACAATTATTCCAAGAACGTTTCAATTATTTCCGTCCGTACCGACTTCTCGGGTCGAGAAACTCGGGACGTGGCTTAATGGCGGACGCAGTTTTTATAGAAATATTCGAGATCACGCAGCACTCCGTATAGTAAGACGTCGGTAGCGTCCTTGATGCGAATGTGCTATGGCGACAGGTTTTCAATCATAACTTCCCAAATCAGCTGGCACAGGAGCGCGTAAATGTCACTGGGGCAAGCCGTAACCTAGAAAGGCTAGAACGATATATACGGCGGTATGGTGGTAGCGGTTGCGGTAGTCGCCGCGGTGACGCGTGAGCGCCGGGCAGCGTTTACGCGCGAAGTTTGAATTTCACTTTTCCCACCAACAACCGGTCGCACCGATCTTCGCACATGGCGCGCATCCGATCGAATCACCGGGCGCCGCGTCATCGACGGGCCATGTCATAGGATCGATTGGCAATAATAGCGCTAACGTGTTCGCAACGTTTACGGACCGCAATCCATAAGCCTCGACCGGTTTTCCCGAGCCATTATGCCGTCTCGAACCGGTGCGGCGATGTCGTCTCCGAGTTAGCGCGCGACGACGAATGACACCCGAACAACACTTACCGAGACGCTGTTGAACGTCGTCGTCGCGACTAGCATAGAGGCAAGTGCACGCTAGTGATGAGCACTATCGAATAGTATTATCGAACTATTGGATAGTCCAGAACATTCGAACTATTCGATAGTTTTTCAAAATATTCGGTTGTTCCAAATTATTCGAAACTATTCGGATTATTCGATAATTTTAAATTATTCAATTATTCGAATAGTTTACGACTTGTGAATTATTCAGTAAAATTTGAAATTAGCTTAGCTTAAATAATGTTAATTTTATTTTGAGATACTTAATCACTAACGTGATAACTGATTACTGATAAGAATAACAATTAACAAAAAACATTAACGTTTAAGTTTTGATTTTTTATTCTATCTATTCGAATAGTTTTTCATGGAAAAATAATATTTGATAGTTTATGCTTACTATCGAATACTATTCGATAGTGCTCATCGGTAGTGCACGCGCGCGATCGTCTACACGTCCGGCACGCGACGTCCCCGCCACCGGGAGTTGGTCGCGACCCGAGATAACGGCGCCTCCTCCTCTTCGCCCGACGATAATGCGCGCGCACTGATAATGACAAAATGATAACAGATCATTTTTATGGACGGACGTCTACTCGCAGGTTTTGAGTAAATATCCAATTGGATTTTACGGTGTCCCGACCGATTCCATTCAGTCACCGGTCGTCCGTCAACACGTAGCGTATTCCGAGCACCTGAACGTCGTCTCCCACTGGCGAGGGAACTAACGATCGCCGGCTAATAGAAATATAGAACGTTTAGTTGATGAACGGAAGTCGAACGTTAGTAATTGAAAAACCTAATTAACGTGTCTCGTGCACGACGGTGCATTTATTTACCGCTATCGGCAACGATTCGATGTAAAAAGACGTTTTTATCTTTGATCCGATCGCAGAACACTAATCTTACGAAGATATGAATCCACTTACTTTCACGTGCGAGGACAATTATTTGTGCACTGTTTTGTCATCGCGTTCCTTTTATATTTTAAAACAATATTTTGCAGGAGCGTGAACGCCCGACGTCGTCCACGGTAGACTACACATTAAACTCCATCCGCGATGTACAGTACTAAAGACTTACAGTAGATGGCATGATTGTGGATGATCGTCGCGCGAAGGTGATATGATATCACATTTTGGGAACTCGTAATCAATCGCGGCAAGTACATTGCTAGCTTCACGTCCGTGCCTTATATACCATCCTCGGGGCAATAGTGTTCGACTAGTGCCTTCACTTTCACTGCGTTCAGTTTCTCGGTTCAGTTCGGCAGTTCGCCCTTTTGACATTATAAATATAATTATTTATTAGTTTAATCATTTATTATGAGTTTTGATGAATACGAGACCATACCATCGTCCAATGTGACTGATCATATGATGGCTGGTGCCATTGCAGGAATTATGGAACATTGTGTAATGTATCCTCTTGATTCTGTAAAGGTAAGTGTGAAGTTGTTTATTGGAAAGTATACACAAGGAGTAAGATGAATATGGTACGAATTATATATATTTTGTCCACAGTGAATCGCCACTAATAGAAACCTATCAACTATTCATTACGCATTGGTTTCAATTTAAAAAAATTATGAGATAATTACAGCTTAAGGTTAAGAAATCAATTTTTTGATTAAAAACAAAAAAAAAAAATCTCATGAATGTAATTTACCGTAATATTGGATATTAATCATAAATTATTTTAATATATTCTATGAAATATAAATTGATTTATTTTGAAATAAGATATAGTAAATTTGTATTTTATTTTATTTGCTGAGTAGTGCTCAAATACATATGCCTCCTTGCAGTGTTTAAATTGCATAATATTACACCGTAACAATTAATGTTTAATTAATTTTCTTTACAGCACTACACAATATAGCATATATAGAAAAGAATAAAATATTATAACTACTTATTACAATTTGTAATTAGTTTGATAAGAATATTAATTTTTGAAAAAGGGATCATATTTCTTTGATAACTTATGTTTATTTTTGAGTATAATTTCATGTATGTATACTGTAGCAAACTTATTACTCAACATATTTAATTTTTGTCAAAATTACTCAACTAGATATTAATTTTATAATTTACTTAAAATATTTGATTTAGCAGTATTATAACTTAATACTTACCAGCATATTTATTTTTCATTTAACTATGAATAAAAAACAAGACTGTTACTTAACAGTTTTGACCTCCATAGATTATTCTTATCTTTTGAACTTAAGTCAACTTTTTTTTGTGTATGTTATAGACTCGATTACAAGCATTCATGCCTTCTGGAAATGTTGCTAATCGAGGGATCAGCACTGTCCTCTTTAATATGATTAAGCACGAGGGATATTTAAGACCAATGCGTGGTATGGGAACAGTAATTATTGGTTCTGGCCCTGCTCATGCTCTCTATTTTGCATCTTATGAACATTTAAAGCAAAAAATTTCTCACCAAACATCTTTGAGTATGACAGTTTCCTCAGGTATTGCTGGGTGTGCTTCAACTATTATTCATGATGCAATAATGACACCAACAGATGGTAAATATGATGTTTTAGTAATATTTTTCATCTGTATATAATATTTATGAACATTTTTATTTTTAGTTATTAAACAACGATTACAAATGTCTAACTCTCCATACAGTGGAATTTTAAATTGTATAAGTTCAGTTTGGCGAGCTGAAGGATTAGGAGCGTTTTACCGTTCATATATGGTGCAGTTATTTATGAATGCTCCATTTCAAGTAGTTCATTTTATGACATATGAGTATTGCCAAAGTGTATTGAATCCAGAGAGAATATACAACCCTTTATATCACATGCTATCAGGAGGTATTGCTGGTGGGCTTGCAGCTGCTATAACAACACCATTGGATGTATGCAAAACTCTGTTAAATACTCAAACAGTTAACGTAAGTACAATATTACATTTTTATTTATTGGCTATTGTTAGTTTTTAATTCTTAATGCTAATAAGTGAATTATAGTGTATAATTATTAGGTTTGGCCAGTGATCAGACAAAATCTAACTTATGTTAATATATGCTATTATATATAACCTATTAACTGTATCATTAGTGTCATCAGTCTTTTTTTAGTTCTTTTTTTAGTTGATGGACTGAAATTGAATTTATTTAAATTTTATACAGAAAATTATTCAGAATTTGAATATTGAAATATAATTAATTAGATATTTTATTCATAATCAACACTAAAATATTCTTGTTATTCTTTATTATTAAATTAATATAAGTCAATCTATTTTGTATGTAAACTATTAATTGTATTTTATTATAAATAAAAATACATTTTTTATTATATTTCAAAAGTAAAATATGCCTTGTATTCAATTGTCATTAATATTTGGTTTTCAAGGTTAGATTTTATTATATCTTCTAAACTTTTAGCTATCGATTTATTTATACCAGTCATTTTTGTACTAGGTTAATTTTAATTTTCACACAGGATAATTTATATTATGAACATAAGATTATTACCAAATTCAAAGTTCATTTTAATCATTATGATTATGATTCATAGCTATGTTCATAAATCATGCTATTTAAAATATAATATTATAATAATATTGTCAAAATATAAAATGTATGTAGATATGATTTGTAATATAATAATTAAAATTATAATAAAAAAAAGTTTATTTTGTTTTTTTCTATAATTTTTTTTATAGAAATTGTTATTATTTTTATTTATACAATTTAAAATGACTATGATTTAATAAGTTTAAATAAATAGTGAATAATGTTTGGTAAATAACGGTTAACTTGCTTTTCATTTTAATTTACTTAAATAACGGATGTTAAGTATTAAAATAATTTTATGTGTTATAATTGAAACAAATATGAATGTAATTTAACAAACAATTGTATATTAGTTATATCTACATATAAGTTATAATCATTATTATTATCAAGTATTCAAAATTATTTTTTTTTTAAATTCTTAACTAATTTATAAATTTAAACAGAAACATAATAATAATTATTGAATTATTTACTATATAATTCAATAATTACTAACAAAGTAGTAGAAACCTCAATGTCTAATATAAATTAACTTTTTTTATTAAGCAGATAAGTTTACTACTTGATCCTTGTTATTTTTTGATTTTTCACCAAATATAGTTATAAAATTTATCTTCATTTATATTCATATATTAATTTTATAATTACTTAGATAACAAAAAATGTATATTTTTTTTTTGGATTTTAGTATATTTTAATTATTATCACTATTAATACATTTTAGCTTTTGATCAATTTTTCATAGATATTATTATAATCCAAACGTTTATTTGTTTGCATTAAACCTAATGTCTGTTCCATTATTATATTTTGTAACCATTCTTTTTTAAAACTAGATCAGGGTCAAATTAAATACCTGTCATACTAGCCAGATACATTTATTGTAATTTGTGGAGGGATAGCTTTGAAGTTTTATCTATAATTTATTTAAATTATTTTCTTGTTGCTATTAGTAATACTAAACATTTTTTTTAGGATTTTTAAAATTTAATTACATAGTTTCCAAATTGGTTTGATTACATATATTTTAATGAATATAATTTCTTACAGTTTTAATTTACTTGCATATTTAAATATAAGGTATTATATTAATACTTTTTATTCAAATATTTTGAAGTCAATGTAAATAATTTGGATAAATTATCTGAAATTATTTTAAATATTTTTCTTGTTTAGGTATATTAGTCATAAAGTTGTTTTTAAATGTTGAAAAGTATTCCATTTTTTGATTATAACAAATTGATGGAATTTATATATTTTTTTTTAAAAATAAAAATGAATAGTTTCTATTGCTTATTTACTTTATTTTAGGTTTTAAATATGCTCATTTTTAATTTTGCGCGTAATATGTATAAGATACACAAATACAATTACGAAAAGTAGTTTGTAAATTATTTCCTTTGTGAAATTCTTTTGCTGTTGTATACTATTTCAAAGATAATATTCAGTGTTTATTATTTTTAAAAGTTTTTAGAGATTAATTTTCTTACATAAATTGTTTTTATAAGTTCATTTGTTATCAGAATATAAGTTTTATTATAAAAGATTAGAAATAATAGTTGAATATAATAATTATAGTTTGTATTATATGAATCATTTTAAAGTTTGAGAGTATGAGAAATTAATTAAAATTGGCAATATTAAGTTACAAAATTATATGAATATTATTGCTACTTTTATATTTAAACTACCTATGTAATTAATATGTTCTTTGTATTTAATAATAGAATATTTATTCAACGTTTAAACATGATTATGATATTGTTTAAGACAGGTTTATATTTATAGACAAAGTGAATAAGTTGGTATATAACCTGATGAATTTCATTAGTAAATGAAAAGTTAATGTGAATAATTTAAGTTTTTCTTAGTTATGTAGTGTATTAAAAATATAATTTTTAAAATTAATCACTCCTTATAAATACTTATGTATTTTATCATACACTGCTCTTTTGTAATTTGAGACAATTTGTTTTTATTGTTATTTAATCAGTACACTAATCTGAAGTTTATGTTTTATAGTAGTATTACTGAACAATGAATATGATTTAAAATTGAAAAATAACAGTATAAATTATTTAAAAATGCTTAATGTTAAACTGATGAGTTGTATTATAATGTAATTAAGGTCAGAGTATCTATATCATAGTTGTCTTAAGTGGGAATGTAGATCAAAGTTGAATACAACTTGAATATATTATTATTTATTGATTATAATTATTTTTTTTTAGAGTAAAAACAAAATAAGTATAATATAAATTTGTATACATTTTCAAAATAATAATAAATAATTTATAAAAAAATAATTTATATTAAAATGACTACAATAAATAATTATTGCATACATATAATTTTTTTTTGAAATTTACATAAAATAATGATTTCAAAATATTAAGTTTATTTGCTTGAAAAATAATAAATTAGGTGAATTATTATTTTTATGCACAAAAAAATAAATATGTGTACTATGTATAGTAATAGTAATATTTTTTGTTACTTTTCTAATGTGAAAGAAAATCAATAAAATATAGTTATGAATTGTATCCTTTGCATTAACTGTTAAGAATTATTTGTTCAATTGTTAGTAAAATGCTTTGCCATTGTATTTCTATTTTCTTTTGCTCTAGCAGTATAATATATTTCATGTAATATACTTAAGATAATTAATTGTTATAATTATTATGTAACAATATGCTAATATTTGTATTTTATTACACTATTAAAAATGGTGTATGTGACAAAAATCAGCTAAGTCATTTTAGAATACAAACCAACCACTTGAATTAGTGAGTGACATCAATTGAATAATTAAAGTATTAAATTGTTAAGTTATTGAAACATTATTGTTTGTAATATCTAATATAATCAATGTTAATTTTTTATAATTTTTTTCTTTATAGTAAAGTGCTTTAATTCATAAAACATTTCGGCATGACATATTAAGTATTTAAACTAACACAAAGTTGGGTTAGGGGATAATTACAAATAACTGCTTATATTACGAAACCAGAACTAAGGATGAAAGAGATGATAGAGAATATGATAGGAGGGAGGGGATTTATTGTTGAGGTAAAGAGTAGTATCAAAGGTTCAATCAATGATAGTGTTAAATGTATTTTTATTAGTACTCAGTGATTATATTAGCAAATTGACTAGTTAGGCTACATAAAGTGTTTTTTAATTTATTTTTATGTAAAATCTATTGTATTTGTGTAGTTTTTTTAACATGTTGCTATTATTAAATATCGCTATTATTAAATATTTTTAACTTTAATCAATTAATATTTTTTAAGTTGTATTTGTAGATTTTAATAAAAATACAATTATTAAAACAATTACTGATTAATAATGTACTACCTAGTTTTAATTTTCATATTATAAAATAATAATAACTTTAATACTTCCTGCATTATTTTTGTTTGTCTTGTTTTGTCTTATTTTTTTTTAAAAAAAGCTACAGTTTTTTTTTTAAATATTGTTTTTAAAAGGTATTGAATATATTCCATTTTAGAAATAATTAAAAATATAAATTAAAATGTAATAAATGGATATTAAATAATTGATTATAGCAGTGATACTTAGACTTTTTTGTTGGTAAAATTAAATAGTTTTTATTGAAGATTGAAATAAGATTTATCAGTATACATATTAAGTATGATGGTAAATAAATAGTATTTATATGTTATTCATAATTTATTGTAAATAAACAAAAAAATATATGGTGTCTCATTATTATATTATTGACTGTAAATGGTTATTATCTGTGTATATTTTATATTTTATTTAAATTTGTATTTATCTATTGAAAATACATACATACTAAACAAATATAAATATATACTCTTAATATTTGATTGTAGATTTAATATTATTTTCATGAATATTAAAATTAAATATGTTTGTTATTATATATAAATACAAATAAAGTAATAGTACTGAAGTCAGGTTTTATGGTTGTACCAATTTTTTAATTTATGTTTAGTTTTGTCTTTTTTTATATTTATAAAATAAGTCATTAATATTTTTAAACAAATATGATTACTATTTGTTTTAATATTGATAAAATGAAGTATTATAACTGAATTTTTTAATTTATTATGATGTATACATAAAATAATTGTTCCTTTTTGACATATTCAATTTGTTTAAGCAATTACTTATATTTATTACCTATAATATTACATTTTTTTTTTTAATTTTATAGGCGAGAGTAGAAGGTCTATTTCGTGCAGTAGCCACTGTATATACACTTGGTGGTCCTAGAGGATTTTTCAGGGGCATGGTAGCTCGAGTCATATATCAAATGCCATCAACAGCTATTTCATGGACAACTTATGAATTTTTCAAGTTTATATTAATAAAGAAAGCAAAAATTTCTGATGATCGGCCTACACCGCCTCCACCACCTCCTCCAATAAATTCAACATTAATAAATGAAAAAATAACAACAAAAACTAGTGTTCGATGTGATTTGCCTGTAGCTTCAAGATCACGTATATATAGTCATTATACAATTAGAGATGATGTGTCTAAAGGTCAACAATTTTAGGTTAGTATTGAGTTACCTGGTCTAAACTCTAAGTATTGGGCAGACATTAGTTTATTATGTATACAAATTGTTTTTGATTTAGGCTTCTTAAAATGCATAATGTTGTGTCTCCAAGTTAATCTTTTAGTCCCAGGTATTCAGTATTAAATTATATATGTTTAGAGGGAAAAAAATTGATGTTATAGGAGCACAAAGCAAAAAATACTATGTATTTTATTAACACTGATATGGGTTTATGGCAAATATTAGTGTTAGAAAGAATTCATATTACCTAAAACTAGACTATTTCAAAAAAAATTTTAATTTCAACTTCATTCTTTACTTACATTATTTTTGGATTCTTGATATTTATGGAGGTTAATTAAAATTATTAATATGCGTATACATAATTTCTTTTCTTAACTGAATTTCTATCTTTAATTTTACTATAAATTACTGCAGGTAATATTTATATATACACTGAATACTCTTATACAAGAAAAACCAAATATATTGTATCATACTGTGCATCACGCATAAATGTATATGAGTATGTGTGTACAATATATTTATTTGGTAAAAATATAAGAATAAGTATTAATGATATTTTCTAATTCTTATACACTGTCAAAATATTTCTCAATTAAATAATATGTAAATAAATTTATCATTTTTTTTTTTTTTATATTTACAAAAATCTAGCCTTTTGGTCATAAATTATCTTTTATTTAAGATAATTGACCAAAGAGCATAGGAATACAATTTATATGTTGTGAAAATAGATGTATCATATATTTTAAAGAAAAAAAAAACAATTTTTAGAAATATTGGATCTATTGTTTCTACAATTGATTATAAATATTTGTGTAATAAAATGCATATAGTTTACACAGGTATTTTTAGATGCTTTTCAGTAAGAGAAATATTTCAATTTAACAATTTAACATGATAACCATTTCGTTATTTTATATTTATAAAAAACAATATTTTGAGAAATAATCACTATTAACTTCTCAGATTCATGATTTTTATAGTCCCGTGTCATCAGACTAACTTTGTCTAGTCTTCTATTGTGTTTGTCATGTTTAGTAAAATTTGCATTTTTTTGATGCATTAGTTGAATGTTATACTAACTATTTTCTAAGATATGATTTAAATAGTTATTAGTTGTTTTACAGTGTTTTTAACAATATGATTAAAGTCTTGCGTTTTACTATCCAAGATAATTAGGTATTATTGATTGAAATACTTAATTTTTATAACACAAAACACACCCAACTTAGAATTAATAGACTTATCATATAACGAGTTTATATATATATATATATATATTTTTTTTTTTGATATAAAAACATGAGTTAGGTGTATTAAAAATGTTAAATGTCTTTTTGTCTGTGATATGTTCATTTATTATTATTACTACTATTATTATTATTATTATTATTACTATTATTATTATCATTAATTTTGTTATATATGTTTTTGTTATTATAACGATGTTCACTTTGGAGGGAAGTAATATCATTATGTTAACGTTTGATATAAATTTGAAATAATTTTATTTTTATAAAAAATTTAGAATGATAAAATGCAATGTGTACGGTTACAATAAAAATAATACTATGAATAATAAACATTTAAAAGTTTAATGGAAATTAATGAAATTAAATTGTTACAATGATTAAGTCTTAAATTTTTAATGTGCATCACAAGGTTTTTTTTTTCTTTTACCAAGTGATAACTATTTATTTTGTATATGTTCAATAGTACCTACTATGTTTAGTAACCATAGATTTATTGTTGCAGAATATTTAAGAAACCTATTATTTTTCCTTGTAAACCTAGTATATGCCCCACAAAAATGACATTTATGTTAATCATACTTATTCTATCATGTAAACAATTTATTGCTCGTTTTAAGAGAATCTTGTAAAAAGATAAAAACATTCAGACAATAAAAACACCATTATATTTATTTTTATTGTTATTATTATTAATATCATTAAAGTCATCAATTGTTATTGAAAAATTGAGATCTTTTTTAAATTGAGTACCTACGTATAAATTCATTAAATTAAATATTGCTTGATAATACAATTTATTTGTATTATTTCGCCAACAACTATTAAACTATGTGTAGACAGTTTTTCTACAATGACTTCTTATAACATTATTTTGTGGAAATCATAGGTTGATGTTACACTCATTAGCCATTATATTGTTATAGTTAATAATTACTATATATGACATACTATAGTCAGAGGTGAAACTAGAAATGTTTATGCCAGAGGAAAATGTTAAAACTATATCCTATTATAGACCAAGAATCAAATACTCTATTCTATAATTTTATAATCCAACTTATTGAGTTTTAAATACATTTTAGAAAGAAAGTTAAAAATATCAAATTAGTAGTTAATAATAGATCATATACTCGTACTACAAAAAATACACTTTCTAAAATTGTATTCCCGGGGATGAATCCCTGCCTTTTTTTAGTTTCACATTTAATTTTTTTAATTGTATTTATTTTTTTTTATTTTCGTCGATAATTTATTATTTTTTCGGGACAGTCTGTTCGATGCCAATTTTTATTAAGTAATTAGAATATTTTTTTTTTTCGTGGATCCCAATATTTTTTTTATAATAAACCCTTTTTTAGTGTTTAATAGTCTTTAATAAACGATTGAACCATGTTGAAAAAATGTAAATAGAATGATCAAAGCACAAATTAACTTATAGTTTTAAACTAAATTATTATATTTTATAATTTCTGAGTTATTTCGGATTAATTGATATCTTAAAAACAATTAATCTTTTTATTGCATTTATAATTGATACCTAAAGTATGTTTTTAGTTCAGAAATTTGTATTAATAAAATGAACATTGTGGCTTATGAATATTTTAAAAGATCGCCTAAAAATTTTTTTTTTTTTTAGCTGAATATTGTAACTGCACCGTGTACAAGATGGCGAAACAAACAAATGTTCTATCTTCGATTTATCGTCGCGTTTATTCTCCATTAGTCGGGTATGACTCATAACTTAGGAGTAAAACGTTTTCGACATGTGGTGATTTCTTTATGTGTTCACACTGATAAAAGAACGCGATTCGTAAGTGATTTAAACTTTAAACTTCGAAATTAAAATATAATCGTGGTGAAAAGTTTAATGTATGTCCAAAATGAAACAAATAAGATGATCTAACTATGTCCGTACACTGTTCTTAATGAATTAATTTTATTGTGTACGCGTATCGTGGGTATATTATTATGTAAATTATTATAAGTGGTTCATTGTTTTTGCTATGGTATGGAAATAATAATGTACTTAAACGAATGTATTTTTTGTATTCATGACGGTAGTCGATTATATATTTTAACTGTAGTGTTGTATTAACAGGTATGTTGGGTAAATTTGGACTTTACCTTTTGAGTCTTACGGAAAATAACACAAGTAAAGATTGTTGGTTTGTTACAACAAAATTAAAGAAAGAAATATTGTGAACATTTTTCTTAAAGTTAACAAAAATAAATTGTTATATAGGAGGAGGGGGGCAAGTTTTAAAAAAGTCATTGGTTGGCTTGTTTTTTGCAATTAAATAATCAAATATTGATCATTATTTTATAAAAATATTTTTTCCTATTTAATTTTTTGGTTTTATTAACAAAATACATATAATATGTTCTATAATATAATTGTTTACATTGTTAAAAACAATTAAATTCTATATTAATAGTATATGAAATACTTAGGGGGCTGTAGTAGCGAGGCCTATCGTTGGTGTCTATTATACAGCTGTGTAGGTTAGGGGATAAGTTTGAGGAAGAAATTACTTTGATGTGGTAATATTCCTAAAAAACCGATTGGCTCTTTTCCATAGTTTGTCCAAATCATCCAAATCATCATTTCGATATTTTATAATTGTAGTATTTTTTTCATTGCGTTCACGAAAACAGAATTAAGTCCATTGAATTTTGGAACTTGACCAAATATTAAAATATGTTGGATAACCTTTCATCAAATATAACATCCTTCAAATTGTTTTTGATCCAAACAAATTTAAAGTATAATAGTTTTTTATTAATATCTTATTAATATTATAAACAAATGGATTAATTAAACATACTTGTTCTTTGCATTTTTACTAGCATAATGCCTTAATAATTGCATTTAAATATTCGATTAAACTTTATTTTTTTTGGTCAGGTGATTGAGTGTCGACTCTATTATCGACTTTTAGAAGATACTCATCAGGCCCGTAGCCAGGCCAAATCTTCAGGTGGGGCAAACGAAATTGTAGGGGGGCATTATAAAAAAATCAATATTAATGCTATTTTTAATTTATTAATACTACTGTAATTTTTATAATAAGTACTTTAAATTAAAATAATAAGAATTAGAATAAAGTGAACATAATTACATTTTGAATATTTTTATAATATATTATTTTTTGAATTTACCAGTTTTTTTTTAAACTAAAACAATTGTAATTTTCTATCTTTTTGCTTGTTGAATTCCATTAATAATACATCCAAATTTAGGATTTTAGGATCTAATGAAATGGTGAATGTTATCGGTTCGATATGTTATATTTATTGTTCGGTGTTGTCGTCAGACATCAATCAGATGCAATCGTATTTTCCAGTGCAAATGCTATACAATATTGCTAAAAATAATTTCTTATATTAAACAGTGCTTCTACTGCCGATGAAATTATTATCAAGCAATAAATTATATTATATATAACTACCACGGCTGTAGATAGTAAAAACCTACTATCTACAGTCATGCTAACTACCAAATGTCATGACATTATTAATTTTTGTTGGGGGGGGGGGCAACAATCAGGTCTAGGGGGGGAAACGCCCCCTTTTGCCCCCCCCCCCCCCGTGGCTACGGGCCTGATACTCATAGGAATTAATTCTAAAAAGTTATCTTCTAATGTTTAATTATGATTCTTTAATAGCTGTTAATGTAGTATATTCATTTTATTCAAATGAAATGGTTTAAACAAAATA